TGTTCAGTCCAGTTTTCCAGTAAGACCATGAACGGAAATTAACATTTGTTAAAGAATGTAATTTTTAGTTAAGTAAATGCCACCAAGCCTAATAGATTCAGACAATGATATAATGATATCAGCAAAATCTAAGATTATAAAGGCTTCAAGAACAGATGGCAAGTTATTTTATAATATATCTGTCTTGTAGATTTGGTTAAGGAAGTGTTGAAAGGAGTTTCTACCTCAATAGATGTGTGTTATCCAATTCCCAACGCAATGATTAATCCTCCCATGTGTTACATAAACATTCATGTTATATCATTCAAATGAAAGAAATCCCTTGTATAACAACCACTCGTTGTGCAACCTTTGTTCATTGGGATGCGAAGAGAGATGTACAATATATTGGTCATCACAGTTCTGCAGCAGCACACACTATGAAGGAAAAACAGACAATATACAATAAAAAGGAGATTTTTTTCAAAGAAAGACCCTGATAATGGTGTTTTCAGACGAAGCTATGAACTTCCAGGTAAGTTAATCACATTGTGATGTAAACATTAATAGTCAATCTCATAAGCCAACATGTCAAGCCAGGACAGATTAAGAACACACAATTAGGCGACATTCCAATCAATTCACTGGGGTGATCGGTGGCATTCTGGATACAAAAGACACACATGTGAATAGCACCTTTCAATATAAATTTAAAAATTGAGCATAACCGAGCCATATGAATTTTAATACATCATAAAGCTGTTTCGTCTTCAGTGACTCATCGGTGAAAAAGCTCTATATTGTTAAAGGATGCTATTTGCAATATGAAATTGAAATCTCTTGATATATAGCTACGCATTAATTGTAAAGGAATTCATATTTTCTAAATGTTATATTTTCAGAATCCCTCCAACAACATCTGGAAGGCGTTGATGCGATATTGGTAAATATTGAGAAAGCAGGTTACTTGTGGTATCAAAAGACGCAAAAGAAATGCAAGTTACTGTAAAGGGAGGAAACTCTCCTTTGTGTGTCCTGTTGGTTCCTTATACTTCAGTGTTGTGCAGTAAAAGCCGGTTTTTAATCCCGTATTATCACAAGAAGGCTTTCACAAACACATTGCAGTCATCCACAAATGCATGCACTTTCGCATGAGGAGTTCTTTGTTGAATGACCATAGCTGTTGAGATAAGGAGGAAGACATCTAAAGATCTGGCTTTGAGGGAAATGGCTAATACTGTGTCTTCGTGGTGTGTGTAGGAAACGGATTTACTGCTATTGCGAAACTATTGAATCAGCTTATCAATAAAAAGTCGGAGTTTGTAGAATTCGAATATTTCCTAATAAGGTAATTATAGTTATGAAACCTTCCCAAGCTGCATCTCACGAAAGTTGAGATAATAGGAAGAACTAATTTCAATTCGTAAAAACTCACAGAGTGAGAAGGCAGGGTAGTTGCTATCAAGAAATGATAGAAACATTAGCAAAACTGAAATCACGCTTACCGTTCGATTTGGTGGTAAGTTGTCCATGTTGGGTTTGTTAGACAAATTGATATTGAAAAAACATTGAAAGGCGTCTCATGTGGATTAAAGCAGCACATATTCTTAGAAAGTGAAATATGATTGGGCACAATATGATCTGAACGAATTTGACGGAATGTTTTTATTGAGTTGGGTTCAGCCAGATGGTACGGAAATGGGCTGTTAGATGCAATGTAGAACTTACATGTGGAAACAAAACCAATATCGAGTTTGAGCATTCTTTAGAAAGGATCGCTTTAGACATCATAGTAATTTTCTCCTCGGTTCCTCAAAAGGCAAGCATATGTCTTGGTGGTGACAAATGTCTCGGTGGGCAGAAGGCTATCCCTAATCAGGAAGCTGACACAGAGACCAACGGTCTACTAAAGACGTTAGATACACTTTGTCAAAAGGAAATTGGGACCCCGTATGAGGGATTACAAAGTGGCGTTTTATTTAAATTCTGCAGAGCAGTGACATCCAAATTTCCGCAAATTTCTGTTTGCTGTATAGTTGACTTATCTTTATCCACCGAAGGTCAGAAATGAGCGAGTAAAAAAGCGATCTTTGTGAACCCTTATATGAAGTTTGGTACGAATCAAGAGAAGAACGAAGCAATGGAGCATTTAGAACAATGAACGCGAACATTTTGTAAGCTTCTATTTATAGCATCAGCGACCTTGTATTTGACTGCACAAAGTTTGGACATCAAACTGATATAAGAAATGATGTCTGCTGTGATTATATGTTGAGTTTCGTACAATTAGTTAAGAAATGCAGCCTGTAGACTGGTGACGTGAACATTTCTGTTGATTTTAATCATGTGTGTGGAGTTATATTTGGATGAGAAATGGAGTCTATTGAGCGGTGGCGTCGTTCGTACGAACGGGGGTATCTCTAAAAATGTTTTTGCATTAAAAAGAAATTAATAAGATTTAAAAAAAAATGTGAAATAAGTTAAATGAAAGAGCAAAAAAAGAGTAGTAAACACTCGACATGTTATATTAGAGGGATTACTGTTTGAGTATGAACATTCAGAAGTTTTACAATACTGACGCTTTCAAACCTTAAAACTTCACAAACAACTGAACCAATATGGCGATGGAAGAGCAGCCGACACATTGTGCATAAGATAACGTATAGTTCGGCAAGTAAACTTTGTACAATATTCCTGTTTAGTTAGATCATCTCGATTAGTCCCGATATACTCAGATCAGTCGTTATCTAGTCGTTATGCTCATTAACATAGAAATAATATCACTATGTAAATACGTTTAAAGCAAGCTAACTGTTAGTAAGTATTAACATATCAGTGTATATTGAAAATGCTGTTGTATTTAAGAAATGATATTTTTAAGTATCTGAATACATGTATTGACCAAGGGTCACGTGACACTTTTTAAAAAAATGTATGTATAATAATGCACAATAAATGATTGAAAGGAATATAGCTATTCATCACCCTTGGTAGACGTTTAGTCAAGAGGTTTAGTGTCACCCCCACTAGAGACGTGGTACAATGTTCTGTCCTTTTGATAATTCAACATAAGTGATTACATAGCTCTCAAGAAATATGTTTTGTATACATGTATACGAATTCCAATGACTTATGAACATGTTTATGTAGGATTATGTTACACACATGCAATTCCTGCGATGATTCCTCTTGTCTTTTGTACAGTCATTTGATGATTAAAAGACAACTAAATTTAGCGTCTTGTCCTTTCTTCTCGTTCTTAGACTGTACAAAACATTATCTAAACTACATGTCATAGCTGTTTTTGGTCCTTCTAGAACTCGACAGGGATGCTAACGACCTAAATTTTAAAATCTAGAAAGCTACTGAGCTTGATGAACAGTGATCGATAGAAATATAAAAGTCTTAATGGAGAGATGCAACATCCGCTTAATTCAATACATTTTAATAATTTTATATATCTGTCAATTTTAGAAGAGCGTCAAGCACATGTTTATATTCTTGACCGTGTCACCATTCGAACTAATTGAAACGTAGCATGTAAATTACTGCAAGTCTCGAGAACTAAACTACACCAGTAGTGTCTACCACATGCAACACCGAAGATTGTACAAAAGATAGACGAGTCACAGCTGTTAATTATCCTAATGTCTCTTGACATAGCCTTAATGTTAGCCTGTACTTAGCCACTGTAGGGCTTTATGTTCCGTCTCGTGACCGCGAGGTAACAAAGTCTATGAAAACGGTTTTTATTACTGGGTATTAAACGCAGCCGTGTATCGACTGGTATGCCTGCGACCAGGTGAAGTGTCCTGCCGTGGACCTTCAGTATTATGTGTGGTAGCACTGTAAAGTTGGTTTTAGTTCCGTACAAGTTCAAGGTTTATTGAGGAGAAAACATCGTATTTGTTGCGTGCTTGTTGTCTAGTGGCTGCGATATGGTCACGAAAGCCTTCTTGTGATATTGCAGGACTGAAGCAGACCAAAGCATCTCACTAAAATCACCTCGCATACATAGACACGTTGTCTAAAATGACCATAGCTGTTGGAAGGACGTAAAATAATATAAAATAAATAGGACATTTCCTGTGTTTTCGATACAATCGCTAGAGAGTATTTTATAAACCCGTTTTGGTGATATACTGCTAGTTTGTTCGATTTCATAGTTCTCTATAGAGGGTTCCTGAAATTCTTGTATATATAATTTTGAAGCCAGGACAATATAATACTTTGCAAACTACAAAACAGACAATTCCCAGTGCGCATGCTTTAAAACGAAACATTCGATATAAAGCAACGAAGCATCGTCCGATTATTTTTTATATATTCCTTCCGAAAAAAAAACCCTCACACACACGCACTCGCCCAGAATACATAAAAAGGAAGGCAGACCTGATAAACCATGTATATTAATAGAACCTTAAGCGATGGCAAACCAACCAAAACACAGCTTAAATATCCGCTTGAATTTTGTGAAATCACATATTTACGGAATCATTTATTGTTGTTCATATTATCATTAATGTTATGATAATCTTAACGGTGCGTCAACACATAAAAGGTCATTAGGGTCATCAGCCGTTGAAGCAAACAGCGATCCAAAAAGGAAATAACATCAAACAAACTAAAAGGCAAAAAGACAAATGCTGAAAATCTTATATGGTTATATTATCACAAAAGATTGAAATGGTAAGTGATAGTCTATAATATAGACCACCATTTTACAGATAACCTAGAACCTTTCCTTCAGTGAGCAAATAATGCATCAAGATCTATATATATTTATGTACTTCACACCAGTTAAATGATAAGTATCTGATTGAGCAAGGTATCAATATATATAAAATATCATTTGGTAGTAAAATGATAATGAATGCTAAAGACGAAATGTTAAAAAAAAAAAAGAAAAAAAAAGTTGAAAATATCTTTACACACGTCTGAATTCTCAAAGTTAAAAAAAAATCGATTATTAGTCTTTCACTTGATTTAACTATGAATTCAAACACCGCAGTCAATACAGGTCAGTTTTGCTGATTTGTGATGTCATCGTATTCTCTAGAATTGGCGATGTTTTTATACAGAGGACAAAAATCGTTGATACGCTGTCTATTTGATGATGATGACGTCGATGAAGATGTCTGACGCTGTTGTACTTCTATCCTCATCAAGTTGACTTCACCTTTACAGTACATACCACTGGATTCTCTCGATTTCCTTTCCATAACACGTCTCTGAGAGGAATTATTCCTATTTCGCTTCCCACGGAAATAAATCATCATTTTAAACGTTCGCCTGAATTTTCTTGAAACAAAATTATATAGAATTGGGTTTAATGCATGGTTAACATATAAACATATTCTTGCCGTATAAACTATTGCAAGATATTTTTCTAGTCCCAAACGTGCCAAATTTTTACTGTTTTCAAATATTAGCCATAAACTGACGATTCTGTAAGGAAGATGACACAAGAAAAACATGGAAACTATAGTTGCTATGATATTCACAACTTGTTTTCTGAGACGTAATTTTTCGTTCACGTAACGCTCGTACATATCAAAAGGGCATTCAGAGTCGGGGATAAGCTTGCGACACAGGCGGCAATACAGAGTAAAAAGAAGAGCACACGGAATGATATAGATAAGAAATGTTGATATGACAATATATGCCCGCTGCAATGTTGTTCTGATTGGTGCACGACAGACTTTGATCGGTGTTCCGTCTAGCAAGTTGCTGTCCTTGTATATAACAATAGATATCATTGGTGCACTGACAAAGACGGCAGCTAACCATATGACGACAATCACCTTTGCGACGAAAAGGACGTTCTCTACTTTGACTGATAAAGGTTTGCACACGACCTTGTACCTCTCCACGCTGATAGCAATAATTGTAAACACCGATGCAGACGCAACCACCATCTCGAGGAATGGCACGGTCTTACCTATAAGAGAAAAAACGAATTTGTTAAAAATATTACCAAAAAACCTTCATTTACAAACCTTGAAATATCCCGATAAACTCATCACACAGTGTTTCGAAAGATGAAGGTTGGTAAAGTTTATATGGAAGTTCTATAATCAACACATTGGCGGGAGACAGAAGAGAAGATTTAATTGAATCCCATACCTAGTCGCATCTGATCAATATAGGGGCGCAGCAGATACAATTTCAATGCCAGATCTTCGGGGACATTTGAATTTAGGTTCCGTTCTCATATCAGTATATTCTTTTAACAATTATTACTACCATATGGGGTAGACGTTAATAAACAGGTATATTAGACAGTGGCACGGTTCAGAAAATATGTACTTTGTGTTCTTTACATCATTCAATATATGAGGTGCTTTTAACACTCAAGAGACGCGGTTTGTATATATAGGATATTTGATAGTGTCTTCAGTAATAACAAATATATTTCACTCGTGTGATACGAAAAATATTAGCCACACGAGTGAAATATATTTGTTATTACTGAAGACACTATTAAATATTCTGTTTATTACATTTTCATCGCAAAAATAAACCAAAACAATGGCAAACTTACGATAGCTATAAAATGGGTAAGTTGACCCTGCTTTTTCCAGACACTACTCACTCATTATACAACGATGTTGTGCGCGGCAAAAAATAGTCCATTTTATGAAAAATCAGTAAGAATATACAGACTCATAAATAAATCATAATGAATGTTTATTTGTGTTTGGACATGGATTTTGTAATTTATTGATGTCACTTATACACAATAAAATGGTTTAAACGTTAACTGAAAAAATAAAAACAATGTTTGATAAATTCTTCCGCGCATGAAAATATATGGCGCCGTCCTAGTCGTTGGAGTAGATTTATATCTAGTGAAAAATATCACAAAAGTGATATTTTTCACAGTTTGAGATTAATAGAATCTTCCCCTACCCTGAGGGTGTGATAGAGAAATCTCCAACCCTCGGGGTGATTTTTGTTGTTGTCTAACCCGAGGCTCTGCCGAGGGTTAGACTACAAAAAAAATCACCCCTCGGGTTGGAGATTTCTCTGTCACATCCTCTGAGGGTAGGGGTTGATTATTTTTCTCCCACCCCATTATTTCCGCCACGACGTAAAAAAAAAAAAAATCCCACGGTGTAAGTGCCTGAATGGCGCATGAATATCACCATTCACGTTTCCAAAATTCTACATTCTTCCGCAAGAGCCAAATGACAGACTACAAACGCAATATGAATATGAGGCAGAGCCTCGGGTTAGACAACAACAAAAATCACCCCTCGGGTTGGAGATTTCTCTATCACACCCTCAGGGTAGGGGAAGATTCTATTAATCCTCCATGGGTGTTCCACATTGGACATATGTATCCTACATGGGCAGAGGTGGGAGAAATACCTATATTTCAATGCTAAAAATGTAATTAATAGGTATATCAGTTTTAATGACGTATGATCATGTTTACTCTTTTAAACAACATTATGCGTAACTACAAATGTAATAGCCTGTAAGCAAATAAAAATGAAATAGTTCTTTCAAACTTTGTCGTTTGAAGATATATTACATTTAAGATAATTAATCATTCATATTCTACATGTCTTAAATAAAATAAAATATCTTAAAAAAGTCTTCAAGGATTCCCTAACTAGACGTAGATCGCGTGTAACTAAATCGTGTTCTATGCACGAATGACCGTATTGCACCATCTTTTCAACAGATGTATAAAATTTCAAACGGCAGTTAAAATAAACAAGATATGATTTAGTTTAAAAATACACAAAATTGGTTCATGCTCAACCAAAAAGATTTAAAAAAATAGTACTGACACATGTAACCAGTATTCTCATCATTACCGCAACAAGGAATCAAAATTGAAAATACAGAAGGAGTTATCGCCCTTAGCGCGGAGTTTTCCTGCTCGGCTAGAAGTTTGTCGCGGGAAGACTTCAACCTTCACACATGTCTGCAGGGAATCGGTTCGTTTGTGAAGAAGGACTTGCTTGTAAGTACAAAATTATTAGGGAATGTTTTTACCGGTCATTACCGAACAATTAATATAATGATTAATGTGATGTATGGAATTATGTAATAGTTTGATAGTATAGCTGATACAACCAGCAGCGTGGGAACAAAAGTAAATTCCACAGCCATACTTGTATGAGGTTCCAAAAGGGGATTAATTGATAAAATGTCATTACCAAAACGATCATTACCGAAACGCCACCCCGCGTTTCGGTAATGACGATATCGTTTCGGAGATGACATTTCAGCACATATCAATGATTAAATAATGGTACAACACTAGTACCATCCTGTACAAACTAGTAGTATTTTTATTTCTAGTTTTGCTGGTATTTTGACTAAATTGTCCCTTTGCGCTGAAAATAACCTAAATGTCTTCAAGAATATTAAAGACATGAGAAAGTGATGATTTTGATTTCTAACCTATACAATAAAATAGTTTCCATAAGTATGAGTAAAATGCCCTGCATTGTAATTAATAAGTGGTGATAAGTTCAGTTCACTGTTCGTTTTTTTTTTTTTTTTTTCAATGTTGAACGTCATTACCGCAAAGATCTGTCATTCCCGTAACGGTGTGTCATTACCGTAACATGACATTGTAGGATCGCTAAAAAGTGTTAGAAGCAATAATAACACAAACAAACAACATTTGTTGCAACAAAACATTACACATCTTTCTATGGGTAATACAATGTTCCAATGTCACATTAATACGAGTTTAAATGTTGTTTATCAATTTGAAAAATATTAACTTTTATCATATTTGCCAGTATATAGTCTCAATTCCATAGAATGTCTTCATTAACATGGTTGACTGATTTTTCACAGCTTAATATTGTTTATTTTGGTTTGAATTATGGAATTATGAAAAGAAAACGTTAAATATATTCTAGAATAATAAATACATCAAAGTTACTAATACGTTACGGTAATGACGTCTTAGTTGTTATGGAGATCAAAAAATACATTTTTTTTTATCAATTTTGAACAAATCGACTCACTGCAAATGAATGAATTATGAAATGTATGTTAAATCCATTATGTTCATTAAAAAATTGTTTGAAAATGGAGTTGTTGGATTTTTTATTTTGAAAATATGAAAATGTCGTTTAAATCTGAAATCACCTGAATACTAAGAGCATGAACAATTGAAGTCATTGGCAGAAATAGACATTGGTACTTTTTACTTGGCCGTTCGACGGAACAGGTCGATAGGAAAACAATCTAAATCAAATGAAATGTTAGTAAACGGGAAAATCACGTGCGATCCGGATATTCTGAGAGAAGCGTGGTACAATCACTTTAGTTTTCTTGCATGTCACGTAAGTCAACCACATTGATAACAACTTAAACATTGAGAATACCGTCCGTAACATGCATATAGAAAGTTTAAACAACTGTAATGGTATCTTCTAGTACCAATCCATCACGCCCCCTGCTTTCACACAATTCATATAAACGATAGCGCGTTTCACTTCCGGTATAGATATCGGATGATCATATGGGGTTAGGTCAAGGTCGAGTGACCTCTGCTGGGTATTTCTTGTAATGATTGATGACGTTGCTGGTGAGTAAGACAATTCACGTCTTGGACTTCTGATAAAAGACATACACGTACCAGGTGTCTTACTAGCTGACGAAGCGTTATTTTCAGCCTCAATAGGGTTAATTCAGAAGGCATTAAATGTAGTATATACAACTCGTTTGCGCCTTAATATTAATTAGACAAAGAGCTCTTTCGTAATATTTCAATTTCAACGACGACGTGTAAAGTTAGAAGACTGTGTTCATATATCATTTAGAATTGGCTCTGATACAATTCCGATAACATCACAGAAAATAAACGCTATGATAAATTTTACCAGTAACCTACATACAAAGTATTAGGGTACTCAACCAAAAAAAGTACACTTTAGATATAAAAAAAATAATGGAATATTTAGTCCGGTATTACATCAAGAATAATCTCCCTTCTCGATAATCTACCCTAAAATTAACCAAGCGTGACGATGTCATTTTCTGACTTGCTAAGTTCAAATCATGCGGCGTAATCAAGCAAAGCCAGATTTTTTCAAACGGATAATTAATTTTCCACGTCGGCATTTTGATTTCGCCTTTGACCAAGATGCCACGCTTAACGCAAAATCAGAGAGGAAGAGCGATTGCGATGTTGATGGATGCTGATAGCCAAACTGCTGTCGAACGGCACGAGTGACGTCAGACTTTTTTCTACAGTATTGTAAAGCGTAGACTTGTCCCTTCACATTGATATAAAATGTACAAATTTCCCAATATATCATATGCTATTGATTCCATAAATTAATTGTGCACTTTTTTTGCTGAGTATATAACTGATGCTTGCGTGAAAGGAAAGATAATCTTGAACTCGCTCCAAATCATCGGTATTCACCTTAATGGGTTGAACTCTCTAATAAGTTTTAAAATAATTAAAAAATGTTGTTCACTCAAGTATTCTGTATGGGTGTTAGCTTTGGAACACATATGCAAAAAAAGGCTGTGGAAGAGATAGAACATACTCAAAGATAGGCATGTAGACATGGTATTGGTCTCTGCTCAACAGTGACTGTTCAGCGTCTAGGAGCGTTTGATATGTGGAATGAGATTGAGAGACGTAAACTGTTGCTCTGGAACAAATAGTGTTTAGGTTTTAATAAGTACTTAGGGTAAGCTCTTTTTATAACTAGACTTCTCCAATTAATTTGTGGCAGTTCCTCAGTTACTCTATCAGGACTCTTGCCTGATATTTGTAACATAATATGTAAATCTAATATAGATTCATTAATGACTATGTCTTTAACGTATTCGAAACGTTTTATCAATAACGTTTTATGTGAATTCTATTACACAAAGTGGGAAGACAAACTAAATACAAGGAATGAGAAGAAGAGATATGCCTCTATCCACAGCCATCCAGGAATTAAC